ATAAAGATAGTACCTGCTAGTACCTACAACTATATATGCTCACACACAAACCAATACGTTGGATCTCATTAAGTAATTTTCTATTAGCTGAATACACCCGAGTAATCAAAGGTGGATCTTACAATGTCAGTACCTAAGTCTACACAGTATTCAGCACACATAGACACTCGTACACACACCGGATCTTATAAGGTCAGTTACACACTAATGACACTATACTCTATAGTGATCTCTGTACTTTATTAGATCCTTCCAATTTTTTGTAAACCCGTATTATAAAAAACGTTGCGAGATTTGGTCGTATACTCGTATGGATCTCACTACGAAAAATGATCTCACAACGCTGCTCATTTTCTATACGTTGGATCCCATAAGGTATTATAGGTAGGTTAATAATACACATAACATTTTACACACTCGCGGACTGTGACATGTCGGATCTCTAAACGATGTGGCACACGCATTTCCACATAACATACCAAATACCAATATACTTACATAGTATATTAATATATTATATATTGTATACACGAACATTGAAATGTAGGAACTTTCAACTTTAATTAGTTTTAAATTTTTAGTGAGACTAACGGCAGAATTATTGTTGACCGTTGGGTGGATTTCATAATAATATAATGTTTTGTCATGATTGTATGTTAGAAGTTAGAACACTGTTTACAAATTACAATTAATGATACATTATGGGATCCAACGTACCTACATAAAGAAGCTGCATTACACACATAATCTAAGTATGCCCTTGAATTATTTATCATTGATTAGGTTATAAAAAATCATCATGATAAAAACTAACAAATAAACATTCACCCTTTCCCCCAAATCAAATACTAGACATGCACACACGTGTCAACTGGTTGGCAATCAGCAATCATATATGAGACAAACCCATAACATTTCGCTTACGACGGATTTCCCTACGTCGGAGAATTCGGTTAAATTTTTTTATTTATTTTGAAAATCTAATACAAAGTAAAATAACAATAAAATATGAAATCGATATGTCATTCCCTCAAAAATATTATTCTCTATCTTTTTTGTAATGGGTGATTTTACTCTAAGATTACTTAAAAACATAAAAAAAACGATTCTCCGTAAATACGTTTTGTCGATGTTGTGCGTGGGCCAGAGAAAACAAATAGTACGCCGAGTCGCCGACATCCTTTTAATACAAATATAAAATATTAACTATGCATTTTCTAGAAAGATAACGTGGATTTAATAAGATCGATGAAATGAAAATTATTACAGAACACACATCAAAATGCGACGTTGCCGATACTCGGATCTCGGAAAAGGCGAGCACATAATATAGGAGTGTGTCTATTAAAATAATTTTCGTACACACACCGTCGATTGTGGCGCATTCTGCATTACACACACCAAAACTAATTTACACCCATTTTCTTATTTATAGTATTTTATTAGATCCGTCCAATTTTTCTTAAATCCGTATTATAAACACTTATTGAACTAATATTTAATGAAAACGTTGCGAGATCAGGTCATATGGATCTCACTACGAAAAATGATCTCACAACGCTGCTCATTTTCCATATGTTGGATCCCATAAGGTATTATATGTAAACCCACACACACACACACACACACACACACTCCAGAACCGGACATACACGCCCGGTGCATGGTCTACGATCCGACGTAGTCGGATTGCCTACCTGACTAGCTACTTGCATACGAGCGACTTACACCCCCACTGCCACCGACACTCGGGAATCGACTTTTACCCGAGATGACTGATAGCTAGACACTCAAACTCAGAGAACCCGAATTTCCGATTTCAACACACATACGAGAACCGGACATACACGCCCGGTGCATGGTCTGCGATCCGACGTAGTCGGATTGCCTACCTGGCTGGCTGTGTCTTACGATCGACTTGAATCGCGTGACTTACGACTAGACACTCTTCCGAGTTCAAAAATTACCGCTTAACCAGTGCTGCCAACACGACAAAACACAATACCCGACGACCCCCCATTCACGCCGCAGGCCGGATCAAAAAACCCAGCATCGCCGACAAAGATGCACCACCGCCCACACAGTCTTTCCGCCGCAGGCGGGATGACAAACGCCAAAATCTAGTATTATACTAAAATATGATAAATAGGTACCTAAGAATATTATTTCGTATAATTTATACGAAACTTTATTGTTAAAACCAAAATTACAAGTTTCATGAAACCGTGGTTGCGCAACTATGGGAAATTTTTGTTTCATGAAACTCAGTGTGCGTATCTATTTGATTTTCAATTGAATGGTTTCATGAAATTAAAGTTTCACATTTCATGAAATTAGTTTCTTAAAACAAGTTTCTTCAGTGTTCAGCCCGCCTTAGTTAAATTTTTAATTAAACTTTAAATGTGTTTATTATTTTCAATTAATTTTACTTAATAACAATTTGGTATTTACTTAGTTACTACTAGTTAAAATATACATTTATATTTTATATTTTTAATGTGATATTCCTGATGTTCATAGGTTCTTGAAGAAGTTGTTATTAGCGTTGAAATCTTTGATATATTGGATAATGCTATAATCGATCATTTAGATAGTTTGACTTTACCCCCCCACCAACAATGTGCTGCTCACACATTGAACCTTATTGCAACGGTAGATATTTTAGCAGCTGACAATGATGTGGCTTTCAAGAGGATTAGTAGACGCGTGTTTGAAAAATGTCAAACACTGTTCAATAAGCAAAACCAATCTATAGTCTGTCCCACGAGAGAATAATGAGTCCGCCGACTAATTTTCGTCCGGGTTGGCGCATACCCCTACTCTGGAGACCACGTTCGAGCGGCTACGTCGCGTGTCAGTGCAAGCCTGTCGTCGGTGCACGCCGATCGTAGTTTGAGTGGGGCGAACCACTTGTGGAATGCCACTGTTATAAAATATTATAATATATGCAAATACGTAATTAAGGGAGTGGGCAATATTGCCCGTGGGAGGTTTGTTTTAGTGACGCCAAAAAAAAATGTAAAAAAAAAATAAAACAACAATTTGGTTGATAGTTGTTGTAACTATAATAATTGTTAATTGACTTAGGTACTGATATATTTTGTAATTAATTCACGATCATTAGGATATACAAGCAAAACAATCAAATCAAAACCAATCTTCCTTATAAAACGAAATAGAATGGATCATTATACATTTATACACAATACACATAAAATATTATTTCATATTTGGTTTATCTTGATATTAATAATAATAAAAATAATAATTGTACAAATTTAATTTTCTTTTTTGTGCATATTGAATGCACATATATATGCGTATAGGTATTGTTATAATAATTGTTTTCTAATAAAATAAAATTCCATACTTAAAAAATAATGAAGTTACATTTTTAATAAGCAAAAAAAATAGAATATTATTATTACGTAAATATTTTCAAATTTTGTAGCAAGTATACACAGATATACAATGGTTTAAAACCACTGGTTTGCAGCTGCCCCCTCAAGAATGGGGGTGGAAATGTGTAGGAGACACCCTGGTGCCAATTACAATGGAAAATCCACCAGCACCTGAGGTCCTACTAAAAACTATATTTTGCCGCTGTACCAAAGATTGTATGATTGGAAAATGTGGCTGCCGGAAAGCAATGCTGAATTGTTCTGCAGCGTGCCTCCACTGCCAAGGTAAATGCATGAACAGCGTGCCTGTTGAAGATGAGGACGACGAAGACGACGATGAAGAGCAAGAGGCACCCACTACTACTGACAAAGATGAAATGGATGAACAACCTGGGCCCTCAAGTTCAAAGAAAATGAAAACATGATTTAATGTAAAATTAAGAATTACTTGAGAACTACTTATCTGTAAAATAAAGTGTGTATTATCATTATTTTTGTCTGTTTTATTTCTTAAAAGTGTGGCCACATATATTATTACATGAAAGAACAAAGTTTGTGGGTCAAGAATATGATATATAAATTTTCTGAAAATTGCAAATTGTTATGAAAGTTGTAAAATAGCTGTAAATTTAGGCAGCTCGGAGATTAATAATTAACATATGTGTATATATTCTGAAAAGGAATTTAAATATCTACAACTTCTTTTCTATGCATATTTTTCGTTTATGAATAGGTTTAGACAATATGATGGATTGTTTTATGAATATAGTGAGGTAAAATGGTTTTTTTTGTAATATTCTACTTTTTTCGAATGTATAGCTCGAAAACGGTTGCGAATTCGAAAAAAACATATAATATAAAAGTTTTAGATAATTTCATGAACTTTATTTTGTTATTTAAAAAAATTTTCCTCCGATGCACCGTTTTCGATATATAAGCGAAAAACCCAAAAAGCTCAACTTTACCCCCCCCCCCTCCCCCCTCCGGCTCACCACCTAGGTGTCAGGACTTTTAGTATGTTAACACCCTAAGCCCCCCGAACAAGTTTCTGAAGGAATCGCTAAGTTACCTGCTCACGCACTCTACACCTCATTCCTTGACTGGACTAGTTGAAGAAAATCCAAGCATTTTTACTGTCCTAAAACGTGATGACAGACACAAAAAAAAAAATAAACACACACCATTGTAAAATCAATACATTCAGCGCTTCGCTCAGAATCTAAAAAAAATTGAAAATGTTATCATTTACTTATAGAAAATAATTGAAAATTGTATAATTGACTATATAGCCAATTCAATTGAAATTAACTCGATTTATTATAATTTCTCTATACCTATTGCTTAATCGATGATAACATTGTATTCAAAATTTTTATTTTATATTCTGAGTGGAACGATGAATGTATTGATTTTACAATGATGTGTGTTTTTTTTATTTTATTTTTTTATTTTTGTGTCTGTCACCGCGGTTTGGGGCAGTAAAACTGCTTCGATTTTCTTCAACAGTATCTCGTCAAGATCAACATCCACTTACCCACTTTTTTTCAGTTTGTTTCTTCAAGTCAAAGATTAATGATCATCAATGCGTATAAAGCGAAAATGATTGAAAATCCTGAATACAAAATGCTTCATCTAAAAAAAATACTTGCTGCACAACTTGGAATCGGACAGTCAACAATTTATAACACGGTATTGGAGTACCAAAGAAATAAAACCGTTTCTTCGCCAAATAAAACTAAAAATAGGGTCAAAATATATGACAAAGTAGATGAATTTGACAAATATGCCATTAGGAGAAAAGTTCATCAATTTTGGCACAATCGTGAAATGCCTACGTTAAACAAGGTTCTAGTAGCAGTCAATGAAGAAGCCGATCTACCAAATATTTCTCGATCATCATTGCATCGATTGTTGAAATCAATGGATTTTGTATTCACTAAGCGAGGTCGTAATACTGCTTTGCTTGAAAGAGAAGATATTATTCTGTGGCGGAGAAACTATTTAAGAGACATCAAGCGATATCGCGAAGAAGGTCGACCAATTTACTACTTGGACGAAACATGGGTGAACGCCGGAGATGTCAATAGTAAAATATGGGTTGATAAGAGCGTTTTAACAGCTAGAATGGCTTCGTCTGCGGGACTTTCAACTGGTGCAGTAAATCCAACTGGCAAGGGAAAACGCTTAATTGTTTGTCACAAGATGGATTTGTACACAGAGGACTTTTGAGCTTTGAGTAAAAAAAAAATACTCGAGACTATCACGATGAGATGAACGGAGACTTTTCGTGATTGGTTGCAAGGTGTTTTGCCCGGACTTAAAGAAATCGCTGTTATCGTGATTTACAACGCTCCTTACCACTCGGTAAAAACGGAGAAATGCCCAACAACAAGCTGGAGAAAAGCTAACATAATTGAGTGGCTCCAAAACAAAGGAGAGGTAGTCGACAAAACAATGAACATTTTAGAATTGTTAGAGGTTGTCAAGAAAATCAAACCATTGTACAATAAGTATGTTATCGATGAGATGGTCAAAGCTAATAATAAAATTGTCCTCAGATTACCTCCTTACCACTGTGAGCTTAACCCTATTGAGCTTGCATGGGCTGCAGTGAAAAGATATGTGAGAGACAACAACAAAACATTTAAACTACCAGATGTCAAAAAATTACTTGAAGAAGGGGTGAACAAAATTGATGGTGATATGTGGAAAAATTTTATTCGACACGTGAAAAAGGAGGAAGAAAAAGCTTGGGAATTGGATAACGTGGTCGATGACGTTATGACTGCAGAGAACCAACCATGCGTTCTAACCGTAGGCAATAGCGAAAACGACACGGATGAAAAATCAGACGACGATGAAGACTTTAGATATTTATCAGACAATTCAGACACCGATTAAATTATATTTAAAATATGAACTTAAAAAATAATTTGTCCATAACTATTTATGACTAAAAAATATTTTTTTTTTATTGTTAGGTATGATTTATTTTTATTCTATATAATTTTTGTATTTATCTAATAGTATTTTATAGTCAAAATTATGTATGACGTGATTAAAATGTATTTAATTTTGATCAATATTTTGTATTTAAGATGATAAGTTGATTGATTTATTAATGTTTTTAGTCAAAATAAAATGTACATTTCATGAACTTTGTTTATGTTTATAATATTATGATTATTATATTATACTTAACAAATTAATTTCGATAAAAAATAATAATGTCAGCATTCCGAGATAATTATTAATTTATATGAAATACAGTTGCAAACCACAAGCGTAGCGTACTTGCGCCGTCGGGCGACTGCCGACATGTCACAGCCCACAGGTGACTGGTGTATGCGCACTGCGCGCGTGAACTTTGAAAGAAGGGGTATCGGTTGTTTCCAACTCACGACTTCGGCCTCGGGCGTGGTCGCAGTGTTCGTATGGACGCTTGGAAGGGGAAATTGGGGTTCGGCGTCGCTGAAGCCGTCAGTCGTGATGCGCGAAAAGTGATTATTCTCTCGTGGGACAGACTATTGTGCGACCGTGAAGATGGCCCTTCAACCAAGTTCAAACTTTTTGAAAATTATGCTCAGAGTTAGCAAGTAGTTTGCAAGAATTTGCCAGACTATTTTTAGAATTTGCAAGTTAAAATTATGGAAGTTATCGGAAATAATGATACTGCAGGGCCAACTTCACGCAGCCCTTCAAAGTCAACCCAGAAACTCCAAACCGGTATTAAAACATTTCCTACAGTTAGCAAGAGTTTGCAAGTCCATTATCAGAGTTTGCAAGTAAGGTATTCGGCCAGGGCGAGCTTTCAAAGTTTTGTGCCCGGCCCTTCAAAGTCAACCCAGAAACTCCAAACCGGTATTAAAACATTTCCTACAGTTAGCAAGAGTTTGCAAGTCCATTATCAGAGTTTGCAAGTAAGTTATTCGGCCAGGGCGAGCTTTCAAAGTTTTGCGCATGGTCGTTCAAAAACACAGAAACTCTAAACTGGTTTTAAAATATAAACTAACGGTTTGTACCTATGCGTATGAGGGGTCGCTGTAAATTGCATCCCATTCTTTATTTTTTATGCAAATTGCAAATTGCAAAGTTTACTATAAACAATGAAATTTGTCCAGTTCAACATATTGGTGAAACTATATTTGATGAGAAAAATACAACAGGTGCTCTATTACCATTAAAATTCCAGTTTCAAAAATATTTTGAACAAGGTGACAATTTCAAAAAACAGTTTACACGATTAAATTTATATAAAACCAATGAATGTACAACTATGGACAATTTTGTTCAAGGAACTCATTTGAAACAGAAGGTCTCTCAGTATAGTAACGACAAAATTATAATACCTTTTTTTTTGTACATGGATGAATTTGAAATTAATAATCCATTAGGATCTCATTCAACATTTCAATCCGTTTCAGCTGTATATTATAGCTTTCCATTAGCGGAAAATAGTTCTAAATTAACAAATATCTTTTTAGCTGCATTAGTAAAAAATGTGGATCTTTCAACTTTTGGCAATGACAAATATTTAGAAAGTTTAGTTAACGAAATCAATATACTCGAAAGTGAAGGTGTTAGCATTTCAACAGAAGATGGATATTTCCATGTACATTTTGTTTTAGGAATAATTCTAGGAGATAATTTAGGCTTAAACAGTTTATTGGAGTTCAGTAAATCTTTCTCTGCAAATTTCTTCTGCCGCTTCTGTAAAGTTCATAAAACAGTAACTAAATTAATGCATGAAGAAGACTTATCTGCTATGCGTGATGTTCACAACTATTCTGTAGATGTTGCCAGCTCAAATTTCATAGAAACTGGAATTTATAAAGAGTCGTTGTTGAATCGAGTAACTCATTTTCATGTTCCTCAAAATGTTTGTATAGATATCATGCATGACTTGTATGAAGGTATTTGTCATTATGATATATGCCATATACTTACACACTTTATTGATACAGCAAAATTATTTTCATTAGAAACTCTTAATAACCGAAAAATGAATTTTAACTATGGACCAATAGAGGTAGGTAATATTTCACCTCCTATAAAAATTGTTCATTTAAAAAAAAGACATTTGAAAATGTCAGCTAGAGAAGTCATGACTTTTGTTCATTTTCTTCCTCTTATGATAGGAGACTTAATACCGGAGAATGATGAGTTTTGGGCACTTTTCCTTATATTGCTTCAAATTATAGACATTCTTTTATCATACACATTTACTGATCTTGCAATTTCTCATCTTAAACAATTAATTTCACAGCATAACTCTATGTATGTTACACTTTTTAACGACAGCCTAAAACCAAAACATCACTTTTTAGTACACTATCCAACAATAATAAAACATTCAGGTCCTCCTATGCATTACTGGTGTTTTCGCTATGAGGCCAAACACAAGGAATTGAAAATGTATGCTAGAGTAACAACTTCTAGAAAAAATATAACGTTGACATTAGCTAAAAAATACCAGCTTAAATTTGCTCAAAATTTAATGGAAACAGATAAAAACATTATTTTTAAAGATAAACATAAGATTATAAGTAATTACACTGAAACTATTAACAGTAAACTTAATCTAACTTCATCCCAGTACAGTTGTTATACTGAGTTAAAATTTAATGGCATTTTATATAAAGAAAGATATTATCTAACCAAAAATTGTAATGAATCATGTTTATTTAAAATCAGTGAAATTATATTTATTAATCAACCAGATATTATGGTTTATATTTTGGCTACCGAAATAAGATTGAACGAATTTAGTTCACATTGAATTGGGATTACACAATATCATATATTTGCTCAAAATAACAACCAGGAATGCGACCACACCCAAAAGTGTTTTCGACTACGAATACCACTTTCATAGTCGTGAGGTCCATATCAAGGACGACTGTACACGCGCCGCTCACTTCAAAGGACGCCGCCACCATATATATAGGGGACAGCGAGACAGCCAAAGTAGATGTACCAGAGCCGCCAAGACCGAGCGAGCCGTTTAGCCACCAGCCATTACACACGACTTACATGGAGATTATCGACTACTACAACGAGTCAACTCACGACGCTGCAATTCACCACGACTATATTAATTATTATTGGTTTTAATAAATTACAATTGATTTATATTTAAATTGACTACATTTTATTGTAAAAGTGCAACAAGCTTTTGGATCCCTGAAGGGCCGCATGTAACACTGGCGCAGTCGGTATTGGATTCTACAAAGGGAGGCAACCATCAAAGGCTACCGTCAACAAAGAAGAACTGTACACTCTTCCGAGAAGACAACTCCAAGAAGAACCATCAAAAACAAATAAGTCACGTCGCGGTACCAACAAATCCATCAGCATGTCATCAGCAACCAGGAACACAGCATTATTGTGAGTGAATAATTATTTAAATTTGTTACATAGACGTATGCAACATAATTAGGACATATTAGATAATTCTAAGTAGTTGACTATAAGTATAATGGTGTAAAACGTTTTAAATTTTATTGAGGGCATATTTTATTGATTATTATTGAAGTTTTATTGAATTTATTGAGGGCATATTTATTGATTATTGAAGTTTATTATTGAGGGCATGTTTTATTGAAGTTATTATTGATTATTATTGAAGTTTATTGATTTATTGAGGGCATTTTTATTATTGAAGTATTATTGAAGTTTATTGAATTTATCAAAGGGCATATTATTGAAGTTATTATTGTATTTATAGGGCATTGTTGATTATTATTATTATGAGTATTAACGTATTAAATAGGTAGCTAAGTAATTTATGGACAAAGAAGGTACATCTCCCTTGAACGTAGCTAATTCATTGTATGACACTAGTGTATTAGAAGAAGCCCAGTTAGAAGCCCAGTTATTAGCCCAGAGAGAAGCCCAAGCCCAGTTTGAAGCCCAACAGAAAGCCCAGTTGAATATTATAGTAGATACCCAGTTAGGAGATAGCGCAAGTAGAAACCCAAGTCCAGGAGTAATCACACGTAGCCAAGTTACAGATAGTTTTGAACATCAGTCATTAGTATTTTTACCTATAACACGCACTAAAAAAATGGCAGTAACCATAAGATTAGAAGACGCTTTTAAATTAATTCCACTATGCACAGGAACAGACGATATCTATCAATTCATAAATGCATGCGATATGGCAGTAAGTCTAGTCGACACAAATAGTGCACCAACACTAGTAAAATATATTACCACACGTTTAACGGGTAGAGCATTAGAAATGATTAAATACAAAAATGTATCGAAATGGCAGTTTATAAAAATTTATTTAACAGACGCATTCGAAGTGACAACCAATGCATCATCGTTGCAACTTCAATTAAATTCGATTAGAATGAATCACAATGAGGATGTAAACGATTATTGTCATAGAGTAGAGAAATTATATTATCAGTTATGTACCGTAAGTACATTAGGCAAAGAACCTGCAGAAGCAAAAATTATATATGATATATTAAGGGAACAAACTCTAGCGATATTTATTAAAGGATTAGTAGAACCGATTAGAACAATAGTAAAATCTCGTAACCCCAAAACCCTGGAGATCGCGAAACAACTTGCTATGTCAGAACAGGTAGAACTAAGATTAGAACAGGAAAATAGGAACCATTATTCGAATATTCATTCACAAAATTATAACCAGCGCAGATCGAATTACGAAAATAGGAACAACGAAAACATTAGACCAAATAACCCTGTAAGGACAAATAATTATCCGCGTGCAAACAATTTTTCTCAACCAATCAATAGGCCAGCAATAAAATGCTATAATTGTAATGGTAATCATTATGCATCTCGATGTAGGAATAATACGAGACCTAGTTATGCGAGCAACGGCAATAACAACCGTCCACCTGATAGGAATAATTTTACGCAAC